CTTCCGAACAAAAAGATCAACATCATTTGCACCCCAAGAGTGCAACTGTGAATTAACAGCTTTAAATTACCTTGATCCAATGTGTCTTCCATTTCTTGGAATCGCACTCTTCTCTTTGTTTGCCTTTGCTGGACTTGAGCAATTGTTTTTCCATCCTTGTCATCTCTCTTCTTTAGTATGGACACCAATCCTTCTGCTGGGGCAATCTATCAGGAAAGACAGTGAGTGGCACAAGAGATGTGAGAAATCCAAGTGCGAGATCTATCGAACAATAACTTTAAGGAGGAGATGAGCTTAAGAGTTAAAAAAAGGTTCCCACCCGACTCTTCTTAAAATTGCAGCACTTGTGAAACCTCCTTCTTAAATACATCAATTCCTTAACACGCAGCTCAGCTGCATTATCATTCTGCTGACTGCTGACACTACTTGCCCTTAATTGGTATCAGAATTAAATACACATACATTTACTGTTTGGATCATACTTTGTATTCACTGCAACAGTTCGTTTGTAAAGCTCACATTAAATCACATGGGTTGGGGCAGCCATGAGGAGGATTCATGTCAAAAATGCTATCGTCAGAGGGCAATAAGAAGCCCAATGACATACAGCTGTTGCCTCTCCAAAGATAAAATCCTGCAAAGGCTATCAAATACTCACTGTGAGATTAATTTTCCAGCACTGCAATTGGTTCCCCAGGGTGAACAAGCAGCTACAGTAGGGCCACAAACCAAAAAGAGGTAACACCAGGGGAAAAAAAGCCTCACCACTCTGGATAGATTCCAGCTCCACGTTGTCATAAGCTCTCTAGATACAGCAGCAGTTCAAAAATCCTTCCCACAGGCTGGTCACCCAAACAGCTTGCACAAACAGCAATACAGTCAACAAGTCAATAACTCATAACTTCTCTTTCCTTTGCTACAACATTTGGCTTAGCTGCAAGAGTATATGCTAAGCCATACTAGTTTGTTACACCAGACTGAGCAGTCTATAATTTCCCAGTTATTAGAGAAGTGAAAGTAGGGGAAGTAACAGGAGAAAAATAGCTTCCTAGCAAGCAGTTCCTGGTGTGCTAGAAACAAACAAATAGGAAGCATATTTAGACATGCCCTCTTTTATCTTGAGATCATCTTTCCCCGAAAAAGGTATTAGTCATCTCTTCATAAATCTGAGTAGCACTTATTCTGTAGATCACCAATGACATTGGTTAAATTGAAAAGTAATCTGTATATGTGTTTGCTACAGCTAAGAAAACACATCACATTTGCAACTGAGTTTGCAACTCATCTATGTAGGAGATGACCCCAAACGCCTGTAATTTTCACAGAAACTCAAAGTGGAAAATAAGCAGCTTTCCAGATAACACCATAGTTGCAGAACACTGACTGCTTAACTCTTCCCATACCTGAATCAAGTTAGAAGACCATGCATAAAAATTTGTTTGCTTGGCAATTGTAAAAGCTGTAGAAAAGCAGAAAACAAGTGACTTCATAGCTTATGCCGCTAAACTTGCTTCATGCTACAAACTTACGCAATGCAGCAATGCATGCTGTAACCAGAGAGATGGTGCACTGAACACAGCGAAACGGAGAGCACAATCCAATAGGCACCATACCAACTATGGCATTTGGTGTTTGCAACATTTTAACTGGTAAATGCGCAATTACACTTGCAGGTCTCCAGACTGCCAGCATTTTATAGTCCTCAACTGGACAAATAATGTTGCCCTGAAAAACTCCAGAGTTGGGTATATGCCTCCATTCCAGCAATTTTTCCCACAAGCACAACTGAGAGGATAAAATCAATCTCTGCCACATTTCCCCTTTTCATACTCTCTTTCACTTCTGATTAGCTGCTCAAGAGCTTGAATAGATCATTTAACAAAACAATGCAACAAAATATTTAAAGTAGTGAAAGTGTGGAAAGAGATTGTTTATGTCAACATATGGAGGACCACTATTTGGCAGAACTGAACCAGAAATAATAGCCTGCAAGTGCTTCATCACAACAGACAAGTGCACTGGGGTGAGCTTTGACTGGTAATGTTAAGTTAGCCCTGCAGAACTACAATGAAAATTTATCAGGCCAGCTAGAAAACCGACAGTTACGCCTTCCTTGTTGTGACAAGCAAGGGGGATCATGTAGGAGTGTATTAATTTGACTTACTTATTTGTGAGGGCAGAGATGAAATAATGTCCTTTAAAAGAGTAGATTATTTTAAGCTTTTGCGTATGGCATTGCTTTCATAAAGAGGATCAGTGTTCCTCCCGCACCACCCCAGCAGCAGGCTTGCTGCTGCCTGGCACACATGTCTGCAAGTGGCTTGGACTGCAATGGCAGCAATGTCACCAGGGGCAGCAGGGTGGTTGTACCATTCTGCCCTAACATTAGTATGTGGTGGTCTGTTCTGCCAGCAGTCATTTCAAACTGAGACACTTCATTTTGGCGGTTGGCTCCTGGTAGTTTTTGAATGACTGTCACAAGCTCTGTCTTCTCCAAGCTTAAAACCAGAGGGCTGTCTTTGACAGGATTATGTGGAAATGTGTGTTTCACTGATTACAGTTACATAAAAGGTTTGCGAAGGAAAGTCTCGCTATAAGGAGGTTCACTTACTTTCCCTGTCAGCCTACATGGCTCTGTTTCAGGATTTACTTCTAAATGTATAAAGAACTCATTAACACAGCACCAGCTTCTCTATTCTGAACATCTTTTGCTTGAAGAGGGGAGCTTTTGATTTTGCAATAAAATGAGTGTGCTAGTGTTACTCTCCTGTCCCAACAAAAGCCATAGACCGTATTTTTAAGAATGTCCCTTTTACATGATATATAATTCATACCTAGACTATTTCATCTGCCTTTGAATTTCACAAGTCACATAATTAAGATTTTTGTTTTGTTATGCAAAGGACCCACAAAGCTATTGCCTCCTAATCACAATACAGTTTATTGCTAAAACTGCAAACACAAATACAAACATCTGGTATTTTGTATAAAGCAATATTTACATCTTCTCTTCTACCATATACTCATCTGCAGCTCAAAAATACTTAATGCAAGCATCACCACATTTTCTGTTCTTATTTTCTGTCATAAAAATGTTGTTGCTGTGAGGAAGACTGTCAGGTAACAGTAAAATCTCATGCAATTAAAACAATTGTAAAATGTATTTTTCTACTATGGCTTTTATTTAGAAAGGTTTCAAAACAATATATGAATTGATTGCATTAGATCCATCTCCAATTAATTAAACATCCAAGGAAAGCGACTTAGCTGTCATTCAAGACGAAGTTTTACATTTCAGTTTTCAGGAGACAGGAGGAATTTTAAAAGGCAGAACACATTATTTAAATTGGAAGTTAATGAGAGAACTGTGGTTAATACAGCTGACCACAAGCCTCTGCTTGACTTGAGCCACAGGAGGAAAAACATAGGCTTGCACCAGGCCACACCTCACACAACTCTTTTACAAAAGAGAGCTGCATAAAGGATCCTGTTGAAATGTCAAACATTTTCTTAAGTCCAAGTTAGATAATTAACAAAAGATGTTCTTGGAACATCTGTGTAACTGAGCTTGCTCACTTGGCTCTGCTGGCCATCACAGAAGTCTTTGAACCGGAGCTTTTATAATTACTGTACAGGAACTGAAAATGGCATACATATATGTGGTGGCATTTTGAGCACCAGTTGAAAAAGAAAGTAACAATGACTATTGGTTAATTGAAACACTGTTAATATCTTAGCTTGTCTCTTTTTACCACTATTAATACAAAGTAATTCTGCTTCACAGAAAAGTTCTAAACTTTTTTAGATAAAGTTTAATACCCTGACTGCAAATAAAGAAAAAAAAAAAGCTTTAATTAAACCTCCTGTCTTTTCTCTGTTTCAAACAGAATTTGCCATTACCAAAAAAAAAAAAGGCGCAAAACCTTCTCATATTATGCATATTTTTGCCAAATATGGTGTGAATTTATATATTTATAAAAATATTAGACAAAACTATGAAAATAAGGTCCTATACTTCAAACTCTTAGAGAAAACAGATCAGACTTGACTACTGGAATAATTTAAAGCATACAGAAATAAATAAAAATTCCAAAACTGGAGGCACTGCAAACTGGGATCCAGGAAGAGAAGTTCATTGTATGATGTATTTTGGTCTGAATGCACAGAACCACTCGAGGAGTTTTGTTTGTGTATTCTTCTGTAGACAGTATTCCTTATTCAGTTACTTGGCAAAGGCCTACAGTTTTATTCCTAGCAATACCCAGATTTTTTTAAGTGGGAATCCATAACTCTACAACAAACAGACAAAAAGCAAGACTGCCCTGGGTTATGCTGTAAGCAGCAGACAAACCCCTTCACTAATAAAATATATTAGGTTCATAAGTAATTTGACTTTGAAAAGGAACTGACTTAACAGATTCAGTATTCACAGCATCTGACTCTAACCATTTTTTTGCTCATACGCTTGCCATGCAAGTACCAGGACTCCTTCTTACAGTGATAAATAGCTCAGATACCATGTAAGCATTTCACATAGAAGGACAATTCTTGCAAACCCAAAAGTACAGGACCCCAGCCATACAAGAGAACAGGGGATCTCACCAAGGCATTGTCTCCAGACCTAGTACAGATAGGTGGAGACTTCATTTCAGCAATCAAATCTGCTGCTAGTCAGTACATACTCATTACTTTTAAAAAGTCTTGGTGTAAAAGCAGTGCCAACCAAAAGCTACTACCTCATGTTCTGGTAGAGAGTCTCATTCTTTGCTTTCTGAAAGAAATATCAAATGATAATTTTTCAAGTAGGAAAAAATATTAATATCTTACTTGTTTCCCTGATCTTCACTCATAAAAAGCTTATGTTATGAACTTCTAATTTGTATGGCAAAATACAACTTACATGATTTAGGTTACCATTTGTTTGACTTCTGGTGTGTCATTTCATTCTCACAGAAACAACAGCAAAGATATCTAAGAAAAGGTTATATGCTTCTGATGCCTGTTGCTATCAACTGCTGACTGCTTCAAAGTTCTTTGTTAGCTGTATGAAATCTAGTTTCTATAAAATGACAGCGATCTTCCATCATTTGCATGTTGTGGCACACTGTTTCTACTAGTGAAGAAACACCCAGTATAAAGGAGTGCACACCATATGTAAAGTACCATTTTAGCTTTGAAATTATTTAAAGCCAGAGTCAGAATTTGTGGATTTTCAGTCTTGTAATTAGTTACTGTAAATGATAGACTAAAAGTGAGTGATATAGATGACCTCAATTAGAGAACTACACAAGATGATTTTTTGATCTCAATATGGGGTCAAACAAAGGTTGTCCTATCTGTAAATACATACACAAGTATTCATCCTTCCCCATTTTCAAGAAGTCAACATCACACCTCCATTGAAGAATATTAATGAAATTTTGTCCTACCATATGATCTTTGTAGCTAGGTTATTTCATAATAATCTTTACTTCTGCCTTCCTTCTAACTTATTTGTGGCAATATGCCCTCCATGACAAGTTTTATCACAGTCATCTGGATTTATGTTTCAAGCTGTTTTGGTTTGGTTTTTTTTTTTTTTTTGTTTTTTTTTTGGTGTGGTTTCTTTCATAACTACAGTATGAAATGAAAACATTCTTATCTTATTAGATGGCCACAGCCTGAACAATGAAACTTCAAAGGCTTCAGGTGTACAAGAAAGGAAGAAGTGTTACAGCTGGGTGCAAAGATCAGTCTGCTTATCAAAACATCAGTAAAATGTAATTTTAGCACTGAGCCCCCTCCCCATCTCCCAGAACAACACAACAGTGAAAGCAAGTTAACAGTGGTGCTTCCTCAGGGGTGCCAAACTCTCTCGGTTCCGGGAAAGCTGTAGGTGCTCACCACTTCTGAAAAGCAATGCCTAGGGTAATGATAGTTGGTAAGATAAACTGGAAAACCAAAAAGTAAGTTTACAATGAAACACCACAAGCTGCTGTGCTGCCCTTAACTCACTCTGCTGCACCCAGAAATTTCAAATATCACAAAACAGCCCCAGATGCTGCATATTACAAATGTTAATCAGTATTGAGATTAATCCTTCTTCTCCCTCACACACAACTCCCACCAGCGTGAGCCAAGATTGTGCCTTATATGGGCAGAAAAAGTACTATGGAAGGACTCAAGGTACTTTTTCCTCTCCAGAGACTTAACTCTGCCATCAGAGTACTGGCAGTCCTAGCATCAGGACAGCAAATAAGAAATAAAACTAGATTCCCCGTAAAGTATCACCACTTTGGTTACCAGGCCAATCAATACAAGCATATTTATTCTAACAGTATCGATGTGCCACTTCCTATCCCATCCTCTAAAATGCAAATAGTACAAACATAGCAATTTAAAAATAGTGGCCATAGGCATAATTTAGGATTTTTCCTACATGAAGCAGAACAGTTCTCTTCTGCTAAAATGCTGAACTTCCAGTAGGCACAAAAGAAATCTAATCCTGAGGGATGATATTTAAATTACTCTTCTGTTATACACATAAATAAGCTTAGCACAGACTGTCAACAAAATGCTCCTTTTCAAAACCATCCTCTAAGCAAACAGAAGCCAATGGATTTAGGGCAAAAAGTTTGATAACATGTCTGAACACGTATGTTGCTTTCCACATGTGTGTTGTCAAGAGCTTGTATACAGTTTTGTGCACGTGGCCCTGGTATGTAGTATGCTTCCTGACATCCCACAGAAAGACAAAGTGTTGTAGGGACACAGGTGAGAATGAATGATCTTGGAAAGGAGATATGAAGCTGTTTAGGTTGGTAGAAAAACGAAGTGCTCTGTTCACAGCTCTGGAGATTTTACCAAATATGTAATAACTTCAGCATGGATCCCCAGTATTTAGTTCCATGCTTGGCTACTGTCCCTGAGTGATGATGGTGATTCTTGGTCTCTGTGCATTAGCTTCTGATCTATACAGAATTAGCTACTTTATTGCCAAGGGATATTGTATTGTTAAATGCATTAAAAAAAATAGAGGTGAACCAGGAAGATACATTTTTACAAGTCTTCCCCCTCCAGCATCTGCAATCACATCATTGCACAGTAATCTCATTTTTTCATTTAAAGAAAAAGCTTTTAAGGTCCCATGGTTGCAAACGCACCAAAACCAGAAGACAAATAAAAGCATAGATGTCATCATACACTCTCCAAAAAAGTCCCAAAGCAATAAATCTATACTTTCAGAAGAGCAATTCAGCTTATGAAGCACTTATCCTTGTCGTGGCCATCAGCAGCGCTTCAGAAAGGTGGGTTCAGGCTGAGAAGCTCTTTCTTAGTTTTGGTTGAGGAACAAACCTGCCTAAACTTGGCAAAATTAGAATCCCACACACTATATAAAGTTTATTACATATGTAGCTCTCACCTATATCGAACAGGCACAGAAAAGCAAATTTTATTCTATGAATAGAAATGAAGCACATGCTACATCATAAGCACTATGTAGATCTTGGACACGAAATTGTGTTTTAGCAGGAATTGCCAGCTCACCTCCTAACAGTCTCTGTCAGAATAAAAAAAGCTGTTAACACTCATAGGTAGAAATCAATCTTAGTTTTAGAAACGCAGAGCGCTGGTGGTGAAGGAGGCAAACAGGCAAACAAACTTTTTTTCTGAATTAACTCAGAACAGCTAAATAAGTACAGATTTCTTTTCAGATTAAAGAAAAAATGTATATAGGAATATTTAACACATTTTGAAGTTGGCAATATCTAAAATACTTTAACTAAGATAAACATGGAAGATTTTATAGGATCCACAGTATTTACCTCAGCAACCTCTATCCTTCTTGCAAGTTCATCAAGAGAAGAAAAGCTGTCATCTAGTGATAAAGCTTCCAGTGAGTTGAAGGATGCTCGTTCAGGTGAAATGTCTGGAACAGTATCAAAGTCCTCTTGGTTTTCTAAGTTTGCAAATGATTCTTCAGCGTCTATTATGTTACCATTTAAAAATCTGAGAAATAAGTCTTCTTGTTCCTCATTATTTACCTTCTCCTCCTCTCCTACCGTTCTCTGTATTTCCTTGCATACTTGTGAATTGGCAGTACTCTCATTCTCAGACACTTTAGTGCACCCAGCGCATACACTGGATGTAATTCTGTCCTGTGAAGATTTTTCATCATCAGGCTGTTCCTCCTGTTGCTGCTTTAAATCACTATTTCCAAGCTGTCCACTAGTAATTTCTGAAAAGCCAGCAGCATGTTTTGATCTGAGCAGATTTCTATCAGCTTGCACATCTTTATCAGTAGGAACTAAATCAGTAGGCATATAATCAGCATCTGTTAAAACCAAAGCATCTACCATTGGCTCAAGAGGGAGTTTCACTCCAGGCTCCCCAGCTGCACCTTCTATTTCTTCCACATCCTTAAAGAGCAGTCTTTCTCTCAGCTGCAAACTGTTATCTTTACTGGCATCCCCAGACGATAAACAGCCCGAAGAAGGCCTGCCCACTGTCCCTGTGGACTGGGTGTGTGGCTCTGATGTTGATTCAGCACTGCAGAGCTGCTCCTCCATGTGGTCCTTTCCTGCAGCTACCCGAAGGCTTGCTGCCTCCATCTGTCTCTCAGTTTCGTTTTCACCTGGAGAACTAGTGCTCAGCTGCTGATCTTCTCTCTTTGGTCCAATGCCAGGACAACTTTCAGTACCTAAGTGCAACAGGAAAAACAATTCCAGTGTTCTTAAATGATTCAAAACATAAGCCCGGGGGAAAAAAGTATACCGTGTTTTGATAACATTGCAATCTACTGCTTTAAAATGCATTCTCATAAAGGGCAGGTATTTTATGCTCCAGACAGTATAAAAGTTTCGTTAGTAGCCTGACTTCTGATTCAGCAAAGTATTCACATGCATTTTTGCAGGCAAAGCATGTGCTTTAGTGCCCTCCTGAAAAGAGTCACTCCCATATTTCAAGCACCATATGTATGTATATTTCTGAATAGCCAGTTTTCTTTTATGGCATATTTTATGTGAGTTCATCTCCTGGAGACAAATTTACTTAACAGAAAATTGTATTTTGGTGCTAGTGTATCTATCACACAGAGACATACCTGTATTTCCTTTAAAGCAGCTGAAATCATACTAATTTAATGAACTTTAAATTTCTTTTAAGTGGGTGACTAGCTCCTCTGCTTAACACTATAATAAATATCCAATATTTTACATAAACTGCTTAAAAAAAATGTTACTTTTGGATACATATGTTAGTTTACATATTAAAAAATGCAACTGGATGCAGCTTACTTCTGTATTCACATTTACAATACAAATGAAAACTGATTTTTCTTATTCTGTCAGTAAGAAACAAGGGGAATTTACACAGTTTGTGAAATCACCTACTAGAGGCATTATCAGCTGATGAAGTAGATGGTTAGCCCAAGTTGTTAATAAAATTATTAGCCATTAGAAGAAGCTTAAAGCCCAATCTCCCCTTTTAGGCTTATGAAGAGTCAAAGGGGGCATTTAAAATTAGAACTCTGAAGAAAGCTATGACAGAAACTGTCTTTTATTCCATACTTTAATAAAAATTAAGCTAAGGCTATGTTACAGTAGGACTGTGGTTACAGTAACTGTAATAACCTCAAACAAATTAACATTTCTAGAAAGCACTCATTTGCATTTTTTGGTCATAGCAAAAAGCAGAAAGGTCTTATGAATAGATTAACGATGAGATGAAGCAATGCCCTTATCAACTGTATAGTTCTCACAAGAATGACTGAAGATTTCTATGCCAATCTTAACATAATCACCAGTAAAACCTCACTTAAAATCTGAGCAACTTCCTGAACTTGTTACTTGAAACAAGGTCACGTTTGTTAGTTTTTAAAGAAATGTTTGCATTAATTCATTGTATTGAACAATGTTATTAAATTCTAAACTATCCCCATTTTAAAGGGTAATGAAATACAAGGTAGCACAGGAAAGACTGGCTTGGATTGAACAAAGGAATATCCAGCCATCTCAAAATGCAGAAAAAAACCCCAGAACAACACTAACAAATATGAAAAGTATGGGGAACCTAACTTCTGTAAAACACTGAAAGAGAAAATGGGTATGAGGCAGGGGCATTTTGAAAACTAGACACAGATGAGTAGATAGCTCAAGGGATTTGTAATGGGATACTGAGTCCTTCACATATAGGTCATGAGTTCAAACACAGCCTGGATTACTGGTGCAAGATTTTGTTACCATCTGTCAATTTTTCCTGGTAAATACATCCACATTACATCAAGCATTGCTGGCAGCTCCAATTGTATCAAAAATTAAATGGAATCTACCATGAAGGATGACCCCTGAGCTCAGGACTCTGTTCCTAACCAAGTAATAAATGATCCTAGCATCCTTATCTAACTACAGACATACAGCAGCTTTCAGTATTTTCTTTACACCTACTTCAAAATACCTGCATTAGACAAGCCATGCTCACTATAGACTCAAGGCAAGTTAAGACAAACACTTGAACACTTAATTAGAAAAGATGTTTTTTCCTACTAAGTTAATGAAGATGTACCCACCAATATGGCAGTAATTTTTATCTGTCAGAGATATAATACAGTGTCTACTGCAAATTTTCTAGCACAAAAGCACTTACAGTAATTTAATAAATGTCCCCCTCCTCCCTCCTAGTTACTTCCAACTTGACACTTTGCTCATCACAGTAACCTGTAGCCACCACTTTTTTATCCTGTTAATCCAAGACAGCCTAGCAGAGAAAGTACCAACCTATGACATTCTACCAGTGGAGAATTCACACTTCTCCATCTTTGTCCCTCTTTTCCTTTAAAAACAAATCCCATATGACCTAAAAGAAAGCAGGGTATAAGCAGTTTCTCCCCATCTTGGAAATGGGTCTATATGTACACAAGGCAAAATTAATAATTTCATTAGAAAGGGTTTCATGAAACATGGATTTGATTATCTTTAGTTAACACTATTAAGGCTTTCAGTTAGAAATCGAAGAAATTAATGGACATAATGTGTATAAAATCTCATCTCTTAATATACGCACATAACTTTAAAGGCCTAGGTCTCTCTGTTTGCGGACTCAAAGAGAAAATCTGCCAGAAAGGAATATGTAACAGAACAGATCATTCACAACCCTTGCTTAGAAGGGCAGAAAACTACTTCAGCTACTGTTGCAGGAATCTTGACTAGCCAGCTTCTTACCTTGATCACTGTATCCCCAGGAGAGACGAATCATAAAATATTAGGATCAACTGCCTACAGAGACTCAAACTACGTTCCCAAATGCCTGCAGTAAGTCAATAGAGTAATTTTTTCTTTAGATTAGTAAGGGAACTGTGATTTTACTTCGAAGGTGCTACCTTAGTATAGTACAACACTCTCTACAATGTAATCTCTCCCTACATATAGGCTAATACATCTTATTCATACTTGCAAGATAAATTCTTACTTTGAGCATATGAATTCATATGAAAGACAGTCATCAACCACTTGAGAATTTCCCTTTTCTTAGTGTCACACTTACTCTACCAGCAAAGTGAATTAAGTAGTTCTCCTGCAGATGGGCAGATAAATTTCTAAGAGAAGAAAAAGTTAACACATTTACTTCTCATTTTTTATGATGTAAAGAAAAAAACTCACCCAAAAAAGCAGAAGACAAGCATTCTGTGTTTTCGATTAGAAAGCCCATGCATTTAGGGTAGTGCTGAACAGGTTTAAATATTAGGAAGTGGATGGTTATTCTCAGGATTGCTGTTTGCAGTCCTAGTATAGGATACTGCTGGGGTTCAGGCAAAATCAAGAACAAGCCCCAGGTGCCCATATTGTTTCTAGTCCTGAGCTGGATCACTCAGCTACAGCTTGAATATTTTTTGAACAGTTAATTAGAAAAGATGTTTTTTCCTACTAAGTTAATGAAGATGTACCCACCAACACGGCAGTAATTTTGGGGTGTGGCAACACACACACAATGTGGTAGTATTGAGTGGTGTACACAAATTCACAGTTATGGATCCACTTATCCAATTTCTGTATTAGTTCATACTGATGCCTTCCTTACCCAAAACCTTCTAACTACAACAAAAACATTCAGCCCCATGCTGCCAACGCACTGACTCAGTGAGGGGCAGCAGTAGCTAATCTACCACGCACTGACTTAACAGATGAAGAGACCTGTCAGGGTGACAAGTCATTGTTTCCTCAAGAACATGCTGATTTTGTGAAACGCATCTTTCGAAAATTTTAACCATTTAAACTGGAGTTAGGCTTGAAATATTTGTATCTCTGTACTGAAAAAGTATTTAGTACTGCTGGAAAATTCTGAAAGCAGAACTGCTTTCTATTGGATGACATAGTTTTATGAATTTACAGGCATTTCACAGGAAAGCAAAGATTTTGATGACATCTTGAAAAGAGTTACATTAACAGAAAGACACAAAAAATCCATTTACACCATTAATAACTTCCACATTAAGTTTAGTATGTCTAAATGTCATACTTCCGTATTCAAACATTGACACAAAATGCTCTTCAATTCAGAAATTTCAAATGTTCAGAAATTCT